AATACTTACTTACATATAAATAAAGTTATAAATTACAAAATTTGAATGAAAACATTACCTGATGATGCAAAATACCTAGCGACATCTCCACGTTTCAAAGTGGGCAATACTTGGCCAGAATGAACTTTCAATTTCTTGGCTAGGATATTTTCAAGGCGTTTGGATGACTGTTAAATTTTGCGTTCGGATAGTTTCGAAGAGGAAGAAGTTGTGGTGGTTGTGGTGGTGATGATGGTAATTGTGGTTGATGGTGGGTGGCGTTTTTATGAGTTGATGTCGAAAGAGATTCATATATGAAAATAAAAGAAAATAGTTTTGCTTTAAATAAAATTATAAATTATTATTCAATTATAACTAATGGTCGATGAATATAATGATAATACGTATAAGGTTCAATAAATCATACATATGTATGTATGCATCTGCATACTACCCCGATAACAGTCAGTTCGATTAATTAAACTCTTTTAACAATTATCCTTAAATCTAATATTTTATGTGGATATAAAGTTTATTTTTTCTTAAAACCTGGATTTCTAATTTATGATATACATATATCGATATCTTAACAGCCTCTTTCAATATTGAGTTAAAATTTAAAACTACTCTGCCTAACTTTATGTTCAATCGATATTAGTTGTGGTTGTTGTTGTAACGGCAGAAATTCTGCCGAGTCCTTAGCCGGATAAAAACCCGGYTCGTTGCGGTTTTCGTAGACCCGACTGTCGTGGGAACGGGATACTAGGTGTTTCTTCCTTTTGGTCATAAATAATTTACATCTGATCGCTAAGAACATATTAGTATTATCTCTGGAAGTTTGTAAATGAAGAAATAATACTTATACCATTCTTATTAATTCAAAACTTTTAGGATTTTCCTTTTCAATTGAGGAGATAAGTTCTAGGGGTTATCGAATCTAGAATTTTTTCGGCCGATGAAAGTGGTCAAAAATACTAAAAGGTCATACATTAAACATATCTAAAACACCTATCATTTATTCGCTGTTTGATTTGAGCTYGTCTGCACATAAATTTAAAAACTCTGCTTGTTGAAATGTCAGACCAAGATTTTCATTTGGGAAAACTGCCGTTTTGTGGCATTATTTCCAAAGGGCAATGAAAACAATTATATACAAATATACAATATGCTCATCTAACCCTAAGAAAAAAATTTGAAGTGAATATACAAAGTAGAATGACTACATGATTTGTGTACTGAAATTTTTATTTGATAATTAATAATGACGTATTATTCTTTCTTAATGAAATTTTCTTTTGATGATAAAAATCAGATCTAAAGTAGATTAATACATTTGTGCTTTTATGTTTAATCTTAAGCTGACCTGAACTAGTCATGTATATGTCAATGTATCCACCACGTTTTATCGGCGGTAAATACTTGGAACGATCGCAATGCAATTTTTGACGTAAAACTAGTTCCATTGTGCGCATTGTCTGCAATTGTAAAGTTTACACAATACAATATATAAATACATTATACATATAAGATAATTATAAAATTATGGCAAAAATACCTGTAAATTGAAAAAAAAAATAAATAAATAATAATAATTATTATATTTAACGGTATGTTAGGTGAGTAGCTTTCATTACATTTTTCAATAAGTGAAAACAAAAAATGAAAATATGTTGCATTTGCTTACAAACCGTTTAGCACATTTACAAAGGTTGAAACTTATTTATTTGCAACTATTTTATACAGACACAAAAATATATTTATACTTTTAGGTAAAATCGCATATCTCGGGATTTCGAGTAAATTTAATACGTGACATTCTTCTATATACTACAGCTCCGCCAACTTATCATATAACACAATTTTAAATTCCATCTCATTCTTTCCTTTCGAGTGTACAAATCGGGAAGCTATTAATATAACGGCATGCACGAATAATGCCTTTAGAATATGTCACCTTATCGCTAAAAATTGTAATGTAAAGTTTTGCCAGCATTTGTAGGAATTTCCTGGTCTTGGATCTTTGCAAGTTGCAAGAGTATAAAAAGTTCGGTTACACCCGAACTTGAGGCTGTCTTACTTGTTTTCTTGTATTTTTAAAACATAAGACTTAAAATCAATTATAATAATTTATAGAAAATCAAAATAAAATTTTACAGCAACGGTTCTAACACGAAAAAAAAATTCTCCACTAAAAAAGACTCATAACACTATTGCACATCCGTCAGTTGACATGTTAGCGTAGTGTTGCACCGTGCTGAACGTTTGATTCAACACATGGTATTGTTTGTTCGATTTGCTGAACTTAATGCTCATATTAATTAAGTAAGTGTGATATGCAATCTTTCAATTAAACCTYACTATATATTCGTCATATGGAAAATAACTTTTTCGCCGTAATTTTTTAATGTTGACTACGGTTTTAGTAGCTTTTTACAGTCGAAACTTTCCTAGGCGTTCGTTTAATAAATCATAGTTTGAACGTGTCGTTTGTCTAACATATTTCAGGTTGGTGCTTTTACCACACTTTCCTACACCTTTCCGGTTCTACCAACATATTTGCATTTATTGTCTAAAATTTAACTATTTTTATTAAAAATGCGATTTGAAATAAAATGGAACTCCTATATATTAGATTAATTGATTAAGTAGGCTCATTATTTTATAGTTTCTTTAAAATAATATTAAGGCTATGTAGGTATGTCTTAAATTAAAATTTAAACAAGCTGGGATATTCATACTATATACATATGTATGTATATTGGCTAAAAGAAAGCAATGTGCAAAAAAATATTTGCTTACTAGGCACCGAATCCCGGGATTGCATCCTAAACTTTCTGAATGTGGTAATTTCCAAATACACTCTACCTCTACACTCTACTTAGTGGCTTTAAGTAGATTTTTCTGTACCCGAATACTTGTTCTAAAATATAAATGAGAAAAGAGAGATACTCAACAGATGACACTTAAACCAAAACAGTTAATTTGTATGTATATTTCAAATACTTTAATATACATTGATCATTTTCAATTTTAATACGAATATACAGTGTGCGACAAAACTAAAGCACGGAATATACCTTGTCGGTATTTAACTGAATAAAATCATTAAGTAGGCATTAAATGATCAGGATGACGAGAAAAGTTGAAACTTGAATTAAGCTCTAAATTAAGATATAAGGCTGTAATTTGGTACAGAGAAAACGGAATAGCAAGGAGCATCTGTGGGTAAAATTTTTTGAAAAAGCAGGCTTTAATCGCCCTCTAACAAGTTTAATGAACATATCTTCTAAACCACTTAAGTTACAGCAACCAAATTTGCTGAGTTCTTTAAGGACTTCTACCATTGTGAAAATGGATAAAATCCCGCTCACTCCCAATGTAACGGCACTTTCAAAAACTACTAAAAGCGCGATAAGTTAAGAACTAACCAGACATTAAATTTTGCCAACGAGATGGTATCAGAGTGCTTTAATTTTTCAAAATTGTGAGAGTTTATTTACTTACTGACTCACGTCATTTATACATATGTACATTTGTATGTAAATATATTCTTGGGTTTCTTGAATGTTTATACACATATGCATATAAGACAGCAATTAAAATTATCTTATGAAGCAGTTAATCTGCGTTCAGGATTCGATGCCGTTCTGTGCCATAATTATTATTCAATCATGGATATGAATATATGAACATGTACATGTGGTTAGCATATATTTTATGTATTCATATGAATATCATTTGTATTTACAATAAACTGGCAGAGTTGCTGTTTAGTGAAACCCCTTTAATGATGCTTTTCCTAAATGTATGAATAAATGCTAATATTTAAGAAACTTTTCTAATAATTCTCGAATAAGAGCACAATCAACTTCGTAATTGTTCACAACAGACATGTGCATCACACATGTACATATATGTATATATTAAGGGATCGTTTTGTCAAGGCCTTAGCAACCATTTGTCAGTTAAATTCTGGTTAACTTTACCGAAAAAAATTGTCTTGGCTAAGTTAATCAGAACTTAACTGACGAATTATTGGTAACAAGGAATTGAGAAAATGCCCGACATATGTTAATAATTTAAAAGTTTTTAAAACATGTGCATATTGTCACAAAACGGCAACTCTGAGAATTCTTATTTTTCAACTTAATCCCCTATTAAAGGTTAATATATGAAATGTTATTTACATCGAAAGTCATCAGTGGYTCTTTTCCATCTTCTAAGTAATATTCAATATTTAAAGTTACAAGCCCTTGTTGAAAAATGCGTAACGTAATCATTGTCTCCTTGTTTTCTGTGAACACACAGAAAAATCCATCCTCCATGGTCATTTGATATGCAAGTTCGACTTGTGGAAATATGTTTTCTATTTCACCGCGGACTACTTTAGCAATTTCTTGTCGTTGTTTGGTATCAGTGGTCCTTTCTGAATCCACAGAAAAATCGAAAAGAATAGTTTGAACAGTCATCTTTATGAAWATATTAGTAATTTTACTATTTTATTAATAAATTCACTCTAAAATTAGACACTTATTGGCAAAAAGATTTCAGAGAATAAGCGGTATCTGTCAAAACGAACAGTATTATTGATTTTGTTTTGATTAACTAAAACTTCACGACACACAGCGACACCTTGCGGGTTTCCAAAGAGCGACACCTTGCGGGTTTTCACACACAACGTTGGCTTCGCTTTGCTTCAGGCTTTTGCTTTGACAAATAAATTAGTCTTTCTCAAAAGCAAATTAATAATATTACAAATGTTTCCTGAATTTGCTTTTCGAACGTAAAAATATCAATAAAGRAATTTAACTTACCTTTGAACCAAAAGAGGCAACTCCCTGTTTTAATTGACTAATACTAAATAATAAGAATATTCTCTTAAATTTTCTGTAATTGTAAGTAATTGGTATATTTTAGTGAATAAACTACGTTGAAGTTTGTTACAAAAACTTATTTAAGGCACATAAGCGTTACGAATCAAAGCTTTAAAAGCAAACGCAGAAAATCAAATAGATATGCTCTATTAAGTTTCGTTAAAAAATGTGATATACAATTTCTTTAATAATAATTCGAAAAAAAAAAATATTTTGAGCATTCGCATATATTCGAGATAGTTTTATATAAACTTTACAACATTACAAAGTTAAAAAAATTTTGAAATATACATCCAATTGGTTGTTTCTTTCATATGTTTGTGAAACCAAAACTAATGTAAGATTTTTATAAGATTAGGCTTATTGCTGGCGACGTTTTTTGTTAATTCATGTTGATTACATTGTTGCAAATATTCATTATAATTTCGTTATTAATAAAAGAGTTTTCATCCTATAAAATCTTATAAATATCACTTGGGATATTTCACATTTTAGAATTTTAGTTTACCGCCGATAACGTCCGAGATAAGCTTTGCAATTTGGACAGGTGTGGTGTACATCCATACAATCATCTATACAACATGGTATAAGGCAACAACCAAGCCAGCAACTGAATTTAAATAAAACTCTAACTATTTCATTCTGAGAATTGTAAAGCATTTTTACATACCCTAATAGMGCTATAATAAATCCTGACAAGTAGGCGATCATGCCAGGTTCCGTTCGCGTAGTAGTTTCGATTTCGACATGACAAGAAGGACATATCATATGTGTAGCAGTTCGACCGATAGGCACAACCGTGGTTACAATTGCATTGTTGGATGATGGAACAGTAGGTGCTGCGATTGGGGTAAATGGTCCAACCGGTTTAACCCCACCAACAGCTTCCTGATAAGATGGTGGCGCCGATGGCGGAGGAACGTATGTGTATTGCGGGGGTGTTGTTCCATTTTCTTTGCTCATTTTATTGAGATTTAGTAGTTAGCTTCTAATATAAAATAAACAAATAAATAATACGTTTGATTTTTATATGTCATATATATATACTTATATATATGTATATTTAAGAAATATTTTAATTGCTTAAGTAATGGGTATCTCCCATCAATTAAAAGGAAATGTGGAAAATTATTGATATGAATTTATACCAATGAAGCATSCAAATGTATTTTTTTCAATTCGAAAAACACATAAATATAAAGTGTACAAATCCAGTTTTATCCTCGTATTTCGCAAACATTGACACTTTTTTTCGTTACTTCATTACATAATTCAAATATTAAAAATAATACTAATGCACAAAAGTTTAATCATGTAAAACGCAAAGGTAAAAAAAAAAACATATCAATTCGAAGAAATACAAATGATGTATTGTTAATTATTTTTTTGCAAAACGGGACGAACGACGGAACATAAACTGGATACAAATTTGCATTTCAGACAATTCAATTTTTAGAATGTCGAGTTATGTCTCTTTAGTCATACCATCAGTGAAAATGCGCAGCTTTCCAACCCCTTTCGATAAAAGACGCCCCTCACTATTACAGAAAACTTGRAAATCTTTACTATGATCATTATGTTCTGCTGTTGCAGAAATGTGTTTGACTTTTTCCAAATTTTATTAGGTCCATAATGATATGGTAACAAAATGTTTGTCTCACCGCAAAAAATAACGTCATTCCAGTACTTAGCGAGCCTGTTAAAATTGCCAATAGCAAAGACAAATCGCTTCTCAATATTCACTGCAGACAGCAGGAAAAGCAGAAAATCATTTTTGAAACARAAACAGATTTATGATTAAGAGCCAGAAAAACAGGATTCCTCAATAATTTTAGTAGWTTAGATTAATTTGTAAGTACTATTTTAGTATTAAATGATCTTTRATTTGAAAATTGTATTAAAATTAATTGCACTCAATTATATAACTACCGTTTAATGCTCCGGATTCTATATAAATAGTCTTTAGAGAGTGGAAATCGAGCAGTACAACTCCCTTGACATCAATTTTTTGATTGGCAATATTGCTCATGATAAGTTTATCGAGGTAACAATTATTATCTGTGGAAACGATGTACTGTTGAATTTTTAGGCAAATTAAATTTTGGCTTTTATGTTTATGTAAATATTTACGTTTGAATGTTAAAATGATTACGAAGAGTAGGATCGTAAATGACATTTAAACGTATTTATATCACTCAAACGTGCCATCTTTCATAGAATTAATTATTGAAATTAAATTATTATTTTTCTGTAATACRTTATAGGTACATACATATGTATATTGTATGTGCGTATCGGAACCATACATGTTACAAAGCTCATCAACACACCTATGAAGAGGATGTATTCAAGCTTACAATAGCGAATGTTGCTGCTTTTTGTGAGATATTCCTTTTCTGGAGTAAAATGTGCATAAAGAGAACGTATTATACGAAATATGATGGCGTTCTAACGAAACGTCTTTTTATTAATGACGTCATTGTTAAATACACTAAATTTCAGCATACAATGTGTACATTCCTATGTGTGTACATTCCAATATTAGTAGTAGCATAAAATCGTTAACGATGCTTATATATACTATAATCTTTTACTCATTGTTTAATTCCATATACTGAACTCAATGAATATATTATTTAAAAAATATGACCAAAAGGGCTCACCACAATATAATATTTCTTAACAACCAAAAATTACGATAGATACGAAAGTTTTGCAAAAGACAACTGAACATGAAAGTTGAATCCACAAATGTGGATTTCAGGTATTTATATTTTGGCATTAACCCATTATTGTATGACATGATAAATATTTTTCCAGCTGGACTGTCTCCATCACTTACTATCATTTTTCTGATATGCAATAATCATACCATGCACTACTATCATGATTCATTATACTTGTGTTACTTCGGAGCGTGCTTCCTGTTACTAAAAAGTTAACTTTTTTTTAATAATCTCTGGTATAAATTTTGTACGCTTTACAATTCCTTTTCAATTATCACTCGAAAAGCCCTTGTATTATTGGTTGAAATTTGAAAAAACTTATTTCGGAATCATAAAAACAAAATAAGACATTATGAACTACAACGGTTGGATAAGTTGTTATTTTTGAGCTGTCGACACAACATTATTATTTGACATAATAAAATTAAATTTTTTATGAAGAGGTATGGTTTTGGGCTGAAAACAATTGCAACTCTGGTTTTTCGTATTCACTTTGTGATCCTCTTTAGCTTATATTTGTCTAAGATGATGTTCTTCTAAAAATAGATGCCAAATATCATATGAGASAAGTGAAATCTCCGAGAGAAATTTTAACAAATTGTTAAAAATTATAGTGTTCCTTCATTCAATGTGTAATGGAAAGAGTTCTAATTTTTGGTTATTGCGATCATATTGCGATTAGTTATTGCTTTCTCTCATTGAATTCGTTTAATATATTTTATGAGCGAGCTCCACCTTGTTTGTTTCTAAAGCAATTACATTATTCATTCGTATTGTTGGATCGGAATATCTGAGATGGTTTTTTAATTAACGAAAAGGAGAATTTCTGTACATACATGCATCCATAAGTGAACAAATAGCTCTTATTTATTTGAAAYCCTAAAAGGTATTCACACAAAACACTGTTTTAAATAAGTTCGTGTTTTTAGAAATATAGAAATCATTTGGTAAAAACGATAAAAGTGAACACACTCTTGGTATTTTACTTGTGTATAAACCATATATATTGTGCCATTTTAATAAGCAGTATTGTCGACTAAACATCTGCTACACCAAAAGATAAGCAGTTCGTTTGAATCGCAAATATTTAAACACGGAGGCGAAATATGTGCATGTATTAGCACAGATTTTTAGTAAGCAACTTACGTCATCGCTATTCGTTTTCGTTTTAAGCGTTCTTGAAAATATTTGTTATATATATTATTTATTTTAGATTCTGCTGCAAAAGAGCGAGCACAATTTGCTGAAACGTATCAAATCCATTTAAATAAAAGAGTGCAAAATTTATAAACAGAATGATTCACGTTGGCGAGAATTCTTGGAATCTTCGGATTTTTATCACAGACTTGCGAATTGAAAAAACTTTACGAGTACGGGGTGATCAGCACATTGGTGGTATTATGCTGCAATTAGTTGAGCCCGAAAATCCAAAGGATTGGTCAGACCATGCCCTCTGGTGGCCTGCAAAAAATGTATGGTTGACAAGAACTCGATCAACATTAGATCAAGTAGGTGTACAAGCGGATTGCGTACTCCATTTTACTCCAATGCACAAAACTCTCCGAGTGCAATTACCGGATCTACGATACTTGGATTGTAGAGTAGATTTTTCTACTAAGACATTTGCGTCAATAGTAAATTTGTGTAAAGGGCTTGATATTCGATATCCTGAAGAATTATCCTTCTGTAAGCCTATTGAACCCGATCACCTTAAAAAAAATTTTTCGAAATTACCTCAAAAGGCAATTCCTGTAGCAGACTCTGATGGAACAACGTTTATCCAACCAGCTGCAGACACAAATTCTTTTATTCCCATTAATTCRACATACAATGGAAGCAATGGAAGTTTGGATAAACAACAAAACGAAAATTTTTTGTGTGCTCCTGTATCTCCGTATACTTCAACACCTCGACGAGGCCCAAGTGGAACTGCTCCAAGTACTCCTATCAGCTCTCCAACAGGAACTTGGAAGCAAAGTAATAATGGTTACACAACTATTGATTCATCTTCTAGTCTTGGTGACATTCAAGAGAATTTAGCATGCTCACCCAGATCTCCAAGCCCAGATGTACGCGCAAGACTTTTACGCCCACGGACTTTATTAGAAAAAGCACGAATGAATGTTGGATGGCTAGATTCTTCCCTTTCAATAATGGAACAGGGTATTCGCGAATATGAGACRTTATGTTTACGTTTCAAGTATTATACATTTTTCGACATCAACCCGAAATACGATCAAGTGCGAATAAATCAATTATATGAACAAGCCAGATGGTCGATTTTAAATGAAGAAATTGAATGTACTGAAGAGGAGTCACTAATGTTTGCAGCTCTACAGTTTCAAATAAATTTCCAAGCGGATTCACATTCGTCCAAATTAGATGTCGTAGATTCAGGCAATGGAGAGAATGGAACATACGATGACATTGATTCCGCACTTAATGAACTGCAAATTACATTAGAAGGGCCGAACTCTACTACAGAAGTTAGCAACATTACAAAAATTCCAGAATTATCAGACTACTTGAAATTCCTGAAACCTCGTAAATTTACACTAAAAGGTTATAAAAGATATTTTTTTACATATCGAGATCTTCATCTTCATCTGTATAAAACGGCTGAAGACTCTCGCCGCAGTGCTCCGGAGTTGACTATAAACTTGCGTGGATGTGAAGTAACTCCCGATGTAAATTTGGCTCAAGGAAAATTTTCCATTAAATTAGAAGTGTCGCCAGAAGGTCATACCGGTCCAAATAGCGAAGTATGGATACGCTGTGACACAGAAGAACAGTATGCAAGATGGATGGCCGCTTGCCGGTTAGCATCAAAAGGTCGTTCTCTTGCTGATAGTTCATATGAAAGTGAAGTTACAAGCATTCGATCATTTCTAAGTATGCAGAAACCAGTACAGGGAATTGCTGTTAATATAGATCCACGAAGCATTGATGCAAATGACTATTTATCTCCGAGAATGTTGCGCAAAGCATCTGGAAAAGCAGGTCAACGGATTTTAGAAGCTCATGCAAATGTACGAAAGCTGTCGTTGATAGAAGCAAAGCTCAAATACATAGAGGCCTGGCAATCCTTGCCTGATTTTGGAGTTACATTGTTTGTTATTAAATTTGATGGACACAAAAAGGAAGAACTTCTTGGGGTTGCACATAATAGAATCATGCGGATGGACCTCAATACTGGTGATCATATTAAAACATGGCGCTACAACACGATGAAAGCCTGGAATGTGAACTGGGGTATTAAATGTATGATGATCCAATTTCATGATGAAACCGTTGTATTCTCATGTCAGTCAGCCGATTGCAAAGTTGTCCACGAATTTATTGGTGGATATATATTTATGTCAATGCGGTCGAAAGAAAATAACCAAACTTTAAATGAAGAACTTTTCCATAAACTAACCGGGGGATGGGCATAAAATAACTATGCAGTCTTCGTCCAGTATTTCGTATGCTTGATACTCATATATAACAAAAATTTCATAGTCCAGTAAAAGGGACTCTAAATACTTATTCATTATATTACGATTTTTTTTAATGCCATGCAAAACATATTTTAATGGAATAATTTATAAAATATAATTTAATTTTTAACAAGTAAGTGGTCAATAAATTGCAAATTTTTAAAAACAAAATATATACATACATACATATGTATGGTCAATAATTTTAATATATACATACGTACGTATGTATGTACATATGTACAATACATATGTATAACCATGATATCATTTCATTCGTTATACTGGATTGAACTGCATTTAATCAAGGAAAGCCTGTCTGAAACGTTCAAAATTATTAGAAAGTAAGACATTAAGCCAAACTAAATACACTAGATATTTTTAATGTTCTTTCTGATGTACCTTAAATTTATTTCTGATATAAAGGTATTATCCATTTTTATAACTATACTATTAACGTTTTACCAGTTCTAACAAATTATACTATTCTGCAAAAATGTGTAAACAAAAGTATGTATTTATATATTTTTCTAATTATCTACAAAAAAGTATATAAACTGTTAAATGTACTAAATATCTTTAAGTTTTATTCTAATTAACAATTTTATTATTAACACTACGGTGCCTTATTCTCTAGTAGCCTAACGTCAGATATTACAACTTATTTGTGAATAGAAGGCTACTGCCAACCAATCTCCCATACAAATAATATTAAAATTTACTATATATAAAAGTTTCTTTTATATGTGCAATTATGTTGTGCCCGAATAACGCTACTGAAATATTACCATGCCGAATTATGCAGTCGTTTTGAAGCGTTTAGCTAGAAAATAGCAAATGTAACTAATTGGTTATAAACTTGACCGTCAGGTCGAATTTTTATACTTAACTCCAAATTCAAACAAAAATATGCAATAAATGTTATTAAAGAATTGATGGTCAAATAAGAAACTAAAATCAACTAAACCATTGATGCCAGGTTAYCAGCCTATAGGAATTCAGTTCATAAATCTAATTGAAATTACAGCTATCTATTTGGGAACAAAATAATATAGCGTGGTACATAGTTAAAATACAAAACAATAGTTTAATAATAAACATGAATATACTTTGATCTTTATCGTATAAATCGACAATAAAAATACTTTTACTGCTGGATGTTTAGAGAAAAATGTTTGAAAGTGAATAAATATTGAACATTACAAACAAATACCAAGTAAAAATAAGTTATGTACTTTTTCTGTTTATTTAATACCAATTTGTGCATTAACAAATAAATAATTATAAAATAATAATGTTAATGTTTTCCTGAAAGCAATCAGACGTTAGGGGAAAAAGATTTGATATACATATAAAGTATATACGGTTGTATGTGAGCTATGATATAACAAACATATCAGATTAGAGTGACTTTACTCCATATGATTGGTGGTTCTATATGAGGTACCTTTATGAAACCCAGGACACGTGTTTTTAGTATGTGGCATTGTAATAAGTGGTATTCACAAAAATAGATAAAATCTGGYAGATACTACCCCAAACTAATCACTTTCGTTTTACTAACATAAGATTTATGTTGTTGTTGTTGTTGTAACGGCAGAATTCGATAAGATTTATCGAACATGTCGGTAAGTGTATTGTGTTGGTTAATACTCATCCTTGGGGGCATCACTTGTGGATCTTATTTGGATAGTTTCACTATGTACTATCGATTCCGCTAACCTGTTTTTAAACATTAAATTTATCCTCTCCCAGACTGAGACGCGTTTCTTACGTGTATGCATGTACATATTTATGAGGTCAACCCATTGAAACCGATTTCGCTTTTCTACATTCATCACCAAGGCAAAAACATGCCCTCGGATTTTTATTTCACAAATGAATAATGGGTTCCATTTTGAATACATATCTGTCTAAGGTAGGTAATATACTTTTAACGGCAACAAAGATAGCTGAGATGGTCCCTATATACATACATGTACATATGTATATTTTAAGGTTTGCTTCGATTTATGTTCATAACATAAGTTCAAGAAAAAACTGCCTGTCTGATTCTAAGAACGAATATGGAAACTAACCATTATTAAGACACTTTAGCAGCTAAAATCACACCAAAGTTATAATACCAATTCCAGCGTATGAAGGGTATATAATAAAATGAGTTTAAGGGGTAGCTGTCGTCAGCTGTGCGTACATTCAATAATCAGCTGATATTTTTTGGTTACTCGATTTCAGTGTACAAAAAAGATTTATGGATTCTCGTTTATTAAAAAGTTTAACACTATTTATATGTATGTAGGTCATTTCTACAGTAGCAAATATTTAAAGGCAACACCTGAATAACTTTGGATATAAATACTAATTGGTTCAAATTATCAATTCCTTCAACATATATCTGTATGTACACATAAAGAAATAACAATGACCTTAATGATTAATGATTCAATGTGAAGTGGATACGAAAGAATTAAAAAGAAATCGGATTTCACATATCTGAATATTTTTAAAATAATAGAATTTTGACAGTTATGTATTTTAATTCAGATACTGCGTGCAAAATATGTATACATAATGGTTGGTAGTTGTTACATAAAGTTATAAATGTAACTTGCTATTATTGTAAAATAATAAACAATTATAATTACATACACCTTACAGATATATCACACCATGGTGCCTCAATCATATAAACGTTGGAAGAAATGCTTGTACGAAAATACTGAATATGACGATAATTACACAGATCCCAGCTTCTTAAAAGACTTGAAAACGAATTTAAATGTACGCTTTTTCACTTTCGAGGAAGCTCTTAAAGGCATCACTAGGCTAAATAATCAAATTTCGTGTATAACCGCTTTTTTGGTTATTTTCTATTTGCTTTACAGCGAGAGTGTTACCCCACTCAATGTTTTATTAGTCACTGGACTAATCACTTCAGTTGGATACATTTTTTACCGTGGACAAAASCTTTTTACGCTTCAATATGTTCTGGAGGACTCAAAAACTCTATTGACGGTATTGGTTTTTGGATATCTTTTTGCGCTTTTACTACACCGTCTAACAAATGCTATAAGCACTGATACAATATTTTCAATGACATTCTTTGTCTTGCTGCTCAATCTAATATTTTTTGATTATGGATTATCAGCTGCAATGGTTTCAAAGGCGCTATCATTGAATGCTGCCATATTTGCATCAATTTGTTTGGCGTCTCGGCTTTCTACTGCTTTCCATGCGTTTGTTTTGCTTGTAGAAGCGTCTGTTTTTTTTGTACTTTATCCTATTTTCACGTCTTTATACTGGCGATGGTATCTTTTGTTGCCTACTTATATGGTTTGTTGTTTTATGCTGTACAACATTTCCATTAATATTCTTATTATTTATGTCACTTTAACGGGATTTATTAATATAATATGTCCATACATATTTGTGACACAACAACAATATAAGCAAAACATTCATGGACCATGGGATGAAGCAATAGTAGAGGAAAACTCGGAGAATGTCATTAGTGATAAATAATCAGGGGTGTTATTTAGTTATGTGAGCATATGATTGAATAAAAAAATATTGTCTTAACGCTGTTTTTTATTAACTAAAACTGAAAACATTTAAAGAAATGTCATTGCAGATTATATTTAAATAGTAGGAAAAATTCTGTGAATCGACAGGTTGTCTAATTAAATAGTTATATTAATYCAATGGTTTTGGAGTGTTCGCCGAGCCATCTTGGTAAAAGTGACAATAGTTGAGGAATTGAAGTCGCCAATAGTTGGTATATTGAAGCTATTTAGTTGATGTGATCTTGTTAAAGTGATAGAACGTTGCTTGATATAAATTACAAATTTGAATGTTGAGATGGAGCCCATGCCCAACATGGCGGAATTGCACATTTTTATTGTAGTGTCCAATACAAAAATGGCAAAATACACCAACCTAAATGAAACATAATGATAATCAAGAATAATATATTCACATACGCAAWGCTGAGAAATATGAAAATTTATTGCAAATATTACTCATGTTCGTATATCAATGTTTAAAGTAAAAATGTCACAAAAAGTGAAAGATATTTTATTTCTTACATCTAACATATTACATATGTATGCATGTAAAATTATAAAAAAGATCTACATTTCTTCAATTTGAACAAACAATTGTCAAAAAGAAGAAATGCATCTAAATTTTTCTTTTAATTTTAAAATTACAATCTAATATAACGAATACTTARTTGCTAAAGTACTGAAAAAATTATAATTTTACTACTAAATTTAGATGAATACTCTACTAACATTCACTAACTTTTACTATTAAAATTTTTGTCTACCGAACCCAGTATCATGGTAACTTGATGCTTTTGTTGATAATTATGCAATTCTGAATTTTTTATCAATCTTTGGTTGGATTCTTATCTGTTCAGATTTTCAACCATTAATTATACCTGTAGCGAAGTTGTAATAAATATGGATAATACAAATTTTTTTTTGTGCGTTTGGGATTTTTTTCATTTCGTTACTTTTGTCACATACATGAGAGGTAAAGGTGTCACACTACATCTCCATTAGTCATACGCCCAGACTCCGAATTACCATTATGCACCGATGCACCAGCTAAACATTCCAAAAGTGAGGAGCCTATAATAAATCAAGTCCAGTCGAATTGAAAAGGAAATGTGTTAACATGAAAGAATTTACGTATAAAAAATAATAGCACAACTAATGAACGAATTGTGTACCTGCTTCAACATCATTCGGATTTTTGGACGAGTTCCTTTGGCGACATGCATAAGGGGAATTTGTCGGCGAGGGCACCTGATTCTATCAAGAAATTAAGAATTACATAATCAGGTTAAGCTTTGGATAAGTATTATTAACTTGTGTTTTTAGTACTTACTAGTTTGCTATTATTTTGACAACAAGTTGCTTTAACACATCCTTCGGCTGTACTTGGACAATCTAGTGCGCAATCAGAGCCACTCATATTTAGACTAGATGTACCGTCAGACATGTTACAACCTTCGATTTCAACAAATTCAGGTTGGATTGTTGTAGAGTGTATGCCTTCATTGTGGAAAAATTCTTTAACTTTTTCAGCAATTTTCATGTATTCCGAAAGGTTTCGACATCTATTAATGAATACATAAAAAAAAATATTTCCAACATCAGCAACATTAAAACCACAACATGTGTACTCATATACRTTTGTTACCTTATATGCGCTGAAGCGATTATGCGATCTCCAGCCAATTGCCAAACATGAAATTCGTGAACGGCCAAGACTCCGTCAACCTTTTCTAAGAGACGCTTTTGAATGGCATCGACCTACATTAAATAATAATAAATAAATATAGTTTCATCCGATCAAGAGTTGTCATTTCGACGATCTAACCCTGTTTGGATCTGCAAGTAACATTTTAACACTGTCACGGCCACCCTATTTACAAACTGGGCAGACTGAATTTAAACAATTCACGATGCAGGTAGAATTTAGACAGGAAACCACCCTACAAATTTAAGTCACATTCGATAGTCTACACACTTTCACTCGTCTACTCCACACACAACCGCGATTGTCACAAAAGTACAGTCACCAATGAGTCCCCGCACGATACTAATCATTTCTTTGCAGACCCCATGAAACCAACTTAGTCCGAAACAGCTCGTTTCTTTGGTTTCCCGTTAAGTGGCAGCTAACATGTTACTTTACCCCAAGCAGGGTCTAGATACTCGCTACAACTACAACAAAGTTAAAATCAAAGATTAGATCCCATCGATTACCTGAATATGAGTTGGAACAGTTTGCAGCAATATTAACGCAGATTCACGTAAAAGGGGCCAAACAGAATGYAAAATTAAACAAACTAATACAATGGAAAGAGCAGGATCCATATAAAAACGATATTTCCAGTCTGTTAACCATACCACCTAAACATACAAATTAACGTAAAGAAATATTTTCATAATACGTTTCTATATGAAAATTGTGTACATACCAAAGCGCTTATCACAACAATAATGCTACCCAAAGCATCACTTAATACATGTAAAAATGCACCTCTCATATTCATATGGCCTGCATCATGACTATGTCCATGGTTTAATTTCTTAACCGGTTTTTTCTTAAAGTAAAATATATATTTTTAAATTGTATTTTGTTTATTATATATTCAATAAAATACCTCTTTTTCATAAGCAAATTCAGCTTCGCCCTCACCCTCGCCTTCGCCATCATCGATATTAGCCAGTTCGGTAAGTCTGCTGTGATTTCTAGTAAGACCTCCCCCGTGTGAATGGCCATGGTGACCGCCGTGTTCTAGTATTGAACATGTGGATATAAATATGTATTTATTTGCAACAATTAAACACTCTATCTTTTTATATAGTTTTTTATTTATATAACATTTTAGCAACAATAAAAAGCAAATTAGTTTTATTTTTAGTTATGTGAATTCAGATGACGTTACAAAAAGCAGATCGAGCGTTTTTAATATTTACACACTACAATTTTACTCACCATAAAGCAAACATAATCCTATCACATTTACCAACAATCCTAGGCAGCCTACTATAACTAATAGTTTCGGTTCGTGAATTTCCTCTTCTTCTATAAATCTATGAGATCGTAGACATATTAACTGGATGTATGGTGTATTTAACGTTCATATTTTACCTTTTACAAGCTTCTATGGTAATGCTAAAGCATAAAGCTACTAAAAACACTGCATTAACCAGAGCACCCAACACTTCTGCTCGCGCCCAACCAAATGTGTTTTTGGACCACTTTTTCGGGGACATCTGAATGAATGTGGATAAGTTAAGAATTTTGAATTTTAATATGTATATACATGGGTAAGTAAATATAAAAAAGTTACGTACTTTTACTGATAGGAATGATATGACAAGGGCAGCTATGTCACCCAACATATGAAAACTATCTGCTACCAAGGCCATTGAATTTGTCACATAGCCCACCACGATTTCCACGAAAAAGAAAAACGCAGTCAGCCACATCATAGAAAGTAAACGACATTTTTTTCCTGTATATTTAGACATTTTTTGATGCTACAAAAGATAGATAGAATTTATTCAAAACGTTAGCAATGACATGTACACTAAAACATATATAATAAATATCTCGTCAAAAACAAAGATCCGCATGTATGCATACCTGATTAAGGCAGCATGGGTAAATATACACATATATTCTTTTATCTTTATAATTTTAGAGAAGCCTTAAAATTAGGCCGTGCACGTACGTTTACTTAAAAATTCATTAAATATTATTGTTCATGTGAACACTTGTTCTCATATGTCGCCGGACCAGACGTATGTAGAGATATTCTAAGCAAACTAGCTTGTAGTAACCCAATAACTATTATCATAAGTATTTACAAACATAACCTAGTTCCCTTCCAAAATATGTGCATATGTATATACACATATATACTAATATATTAACATCCATAGGAATGAAAATATATTCATAAATATACATATGTTCGAATGTTATAATATAAAAATTATATTTTTTTTATTTATGACTCTGGGTTACACTGTTTAGTACTTAAGGTACTAAACTTTCAGTTTCAGTAGGTAGCCAACTCAAATATTTATCAAGAGCCGTCAACACGTTAAATGACATCTTTATTGTCCCAGTGCAATTATTGCTATTTTTTATTCAACCATTTATTTTATCACGTGTTTAAAGTTGAGGTGAGTAGCTTTAACAGTTTCAGCAATTTTTCATTTTATTAATATCAAATGAAAATGTGATATAAAAGGCTACAGAGTAAAACTTTTCAGTACTTAAACGTTTACTTTGCTTTATCAGAAATTATAAATTAAGGTCAAAACTAATTGTACATTTTTGATGTAATATGCTCGCAAATGCTCTTAAAAATACTCAAAATTGCTTTACACTCGAAATTTCAGATTTGTTTTTACTATATACATATGTATCATTTGGTAGTATACATATATTTACAAAATATGCACATCACGTATTTTGCCACAAAGTTACAAATAGAATATCACTTAGAGATTAAAATTTATTTTATAATGTTGACATCGACTTACAGTAGATATAAAAAATTTAACATGACAGTATTCCCTTATCAATGTTATCTGTCGTCAAATGACAAAAAGATGATATCTGTTTAGAAATTATTGAATATATATTTGAAAAAACCAAAAATAATAATAATACCATAAATAATTGTCTGTTTGAAACTCGGATAGGCGACGTGTTTTAGTTGCATAAATATATACATATCAAAACAATTATAAAGAAACAGTATTAAAATGCAAGGCTGACTAATTTGTATGTTATATGTTAATATTAATTATTAGATTGTCAGATTGGCCGGGGCAACTAGGGCTTTTTAATCATCTCATCATCTTATGTGATCGCCTGTGAAAGGGATCTTTTTTATAGTTGATTGAYTTCGATATACGAATAAATGTGTACATACTTACATTTGATATCAAATATTGGACGTATGTATGTACAATTAATTACATTGGTATCACCTAAAGCCTTACACAATTGTCTCTTAACGTGTAACTTATATTATGTAATTAATAAGATAGTTTAAATCACGCTTTGCTTTTTCAACTAAAACTAGCATTCATAGATTTCTGAAGCATGATCACACAACTATCAGAAGCAGATAGAATAACAAAAATATTTTCATATTTATAAATACTGCTTATGCGCTTTTAAGCCCATAAAGCTACTACATCCAAATTCGTATAGTGCAAATAATATAAGAACTCCTACCAACAGTGGGAAAATGGATGAAATAGGATGATAACCCCGCCGACTACCCATATTGCGGTACTGTTAAAAACTATTAAAAGAGCGATAAATCAATAACTAAATTCGCCAGAGACATGGTATAACAGGGCTTTACATATCTCGAGACCCATTTCAACCAAATATGGAAAGTGGCATTCCTCTGATATTTTTATGCAATAGTGGGAAAATGGTTGAAATCAGAATATGCCCGCAACTACTTTTCATATAACTCAATTTTAAATTTCATCTGATTCTTTCCCTTCGAGGATACAAATCAAGAAGAAATTTATATAACGGTCTAAACCACGAATAATGCCTTTAAGTATGCCACCTTATGATAAAAAATTGTCCAAATCCAACAAAAAAACTGTTCCAGCAACTAGATATCTAATATGTGGACTCCCATACAAATAGTTGACTTTTTACTGAAATTGTTGGAGAGAAACCCTTCTTGCTAGTAGTATGTCTCTGTGCTACAAATGGGTTAAATGGAGTTTATACTTCTTTTAGCCCCCATATACCTAACATAAAGATTTTCGAACTTCCGGTTGACTTTATTACCACATATATCGGCCAATATGTGACTTATCTTAAAGAAACTGATTTACATACTTATGATTAGAGTAAATAAAAAGTCACACAAGATGTCTCCTTCTTGTTATTCTAGTAGCAGAAATCATTCCTGCAGTTATTTCGAGGAATTGTGCCGAGTTGACAGTCCGTGGACAGATAAATATCCGGGTCCGTATCAGTTTCTTAGGTTTGACTCTCCTGGGCATGGATAAAATCTGCCCCTTAAATATCATCGTTGTCAAGTATATTCTGCCAAAGATTGTTTAATTTTCTTAATAATGTAAATTTCTGCTACAATAATATTACATCACATTGATAATAATATGGAAGAATTTCAAAACGAGCGTTGGAGTGTACACATTTTTTTATCCAAACAGTTTTTTATGACTGGATGTTATAAATATTACTCCAATGTTGAAATGCAGTAACGCATCATCATCTATTAAAAATGAGCAGTGCAAGCCCTAAGTCAACGTAATATTTGGTTGTTAAATTGATAAAACCAAATTGTACTATACCAAATGAAGTTTTTGAAAACGAGCTATAGGTGGATGAAATAATATAAAGATTCAAACTTACATTTAATTAATTACGTTAAATTATGTACAAGAGTTGCAGCTTCAGACTAAACTAAATTAAACAATTTCAAAAAATAAACTTTACTAACATTATAACACAAATTCCACCTTCTGTCGTTTCAGTTATAGATTGGCAATTCGTCACTTTCGTTTTTCGTTRGTAATAATTTCACTTAGTATTCATTACTTGTCGCTTTCAAACACAAAAAAATGCATGATATTAAGAAATATTTGGCCGTCACTATGCAAAAAAGTTAAGTACTTTAGGACAAATAAATACCTGTCAATAATAATGGGATGTCAAGTAACTCATAAATGTCAAAATCATCAGATTCTAAATAGTGTTGCCGCGGCAACCAACTTTATGAGCTGTGTTCCTGTATGMACTTAGTTCAGTTAATCTAAAATTTATGTTATATTTATTTTATTTTTATATTTGTACATTGAGATCTGTAATAAACTCCATAAGTATAATGTTACTTTTTATCACACCTTTCTTTATTAACATTAGCATTTCAGCAAGCTTCTCTTTAAGCAAATATAATAATTATCTGTCGGAATTTTTATTGTCCTAGCCTTTGGCACGCTACTGGCTGCGTCATAATTTAATTGGACGCAAATTTCACCGATCGTTAGTGAATGAACATTGTCTGTGGAAATGAATTGTTATGCAGATTAAATTTTTTTTACATTTTTTTAAAGAGGGAACTCTGCTGCCAGCTAATGTCACATATTTCAATTATTTCATCTATAGGATTGATATCGGGTATCGAAAAGTAAGTACAGGGTGCCGACAATTCAATATTTCACTTATTTGTATAGTTGTTGAATTTTTAATCTTTATTTAGGATATGGAAAGATAATAAAAAATGGATAATTTGGGAAAGTCGCAATTTATGGAAATTCCTTACGTTGCTCTGTCAATGCAACTTGGAGCAATAGAAGAGCAGCTCAAAATATCAACCACAAAGGAAACGGTGGCACCAGAAATAAATATATCTATGATAAATCATGCTATCAAAATAGAAATTGAAAACGGATCAACAATTGATATCAGCGATTACTTTCAAAGAATGATTAAACTATACAAACAAAATGAGATTCCTTTAAAGAACATTGTCAGGATAATTTACCAGGTAGTTAAAGAAGTATCAAAGCAAAAGTGCCCACATGATTCAAAATTAAAATTATCGTCCGAATGGGCACATTTACTTGTGGAATTGTTGTTTGCCAGCACTTGGAGCAAATCCTTAACTTCAGATGTAATATTTTGTCTAAAAATATATTCAAGATCGTTTCATGAAGTTGAAATTGTGAATCGGCTTTGGAATATGCTTCTTAAGAATTTAAAAAATAGTAAGGATATATCAATCGCAACGACATACGTGCTAATTCAGTTCTTTGATGATTTCTCTGCAATAATAAACGGTTTCAAAGATGGACATGATATTGAGCAGCTGATTTTAAAATTATTGCAATGCGATGGTCGCGAAGAATATAAGGCTGCTTTATATTTGATAAAAACAAAAAATTACACTTGTACTGATTCGACAGAACAGCGATTTTGGATGTCATTTATTACCATATTGGAAAATTTAGAAGAAAACCAATCACACCTTATTTTACCTTCTCTTGAGCATATAAAACAATACGACTTTCAAAAAGCGAACATGAAAATATGGCTGGATATTCTTTATCTTAAAATTTTATCAAATCAAAATATTCTGGTTACCCGTTGGGCACTTGTATATATTCTCCAGAACTATTCTTGTTCAGACATCAGCCCCAATGTTATGAGTCAATTTGTAAAAGCCAGTAATAATACAAGGTTATATAATTATGAAGGTTACTTTCTTCCTACGGATTCTGTTAAAAAATTTCTGGACGGAGATGTCGTTCGGCTTGTGGAAATTATGATGGAAATTAATCTGAAAAGTGTTCCACTGCACTTTTGGCTTTCTCATATTTTTCAATGCAAATCAATATCGAATTTGATTTCTAACAAACAATTATTAAAAATTGCTACAAGAGTCCGCGTTTTACAAAATCCTTTTATCCGGTTGAAATGCATTAAGCTATGTGAAAACACATTTTCCGAAACTATTGATTGTATGACAATAACGGAATATACTGTTCTTATTGAAACTTTATATAATGTTACTGATCCTTTTAATAACTTTACAACATTTTGTACTAAACTTAAAAACTGCATCGATAATGGTGATTCGCTCTCTCTATCGCTACGATTTTATGAAATTGTTACAAATAATCTGGATGGAGAAMTCTCTTGCGAACATCCAGCCTTAATTTATGAAAATACCGTAAAAAAAAACGAAGAAATTAAATTAAATAAAACAACTTTATTAAATGGGATCGTTGAATGTTTAAAGAATAAAACAGAAGCAGATCGAAATAATCTTAATTGGATACTTTTCATGCTGGTGTTCGAGGCGGAAAATTCTGAAATTGTACAAAATATTTGTCAATCTTTTTGGAATCTTCAACTAGAGAAATACACTGGCAGTTCTTATAAAGAATTAAGTTACGAAGTAATTTCAAAACTACCTTGCGGGGAAAACACAGAAACTTTTGTTCGCAAAAAATGGCCTGACTTTTTTACCAAATTGTATATAACAGATACTCTGAACTTATACAACTATATTGAGAATATGGAGGAAATCTTAACTACGGGATCCCATAAAACATTGCTTAAACTTTCTCAATTGCTAGTCTCTAACACAGAGACTATGGATGAATATATAATAGACGCGTTTTTAAGACAACTTAAAAAATTCTCTCGCATGCCATCGATTTGCTATGTTGTGTAGGTAAATAATAATTAAATAATTTGAAATATGTTAATATAAAAATGTACTATGTTATGATTATTTTACAGAACTGCAAATTTACTAAATTACTTCAGAAATATATATGTGCCGCATGAATTAAGAGAATATGCGAACCGAATTATACGCACAGATTTTGAAAATTTTGGTATATGCGCTGCAGTGTTAAATTCGGGTGTTGTTCTAAAGACAGAAACCTATATTGAGGGCATTTTAATGGGTGATATAAACTTCGGAGACGCGAGGTAAAAATATTATACAGAAATTTAAATTTGTAAAATAATTGTAATATCTTTTCTTTCAGAATTGAAGAAATCTATTGTCTAGAAACATATGAAAGAAAATACCTTCGTTTCCATCAATTGCGCTTAAGATATATTTTATCATTGCCAATCGAATATAAAGCTATAATACTCACCGACCTTCTTAATAAACTCGAAGTTTTAAGTTCGAAAAAGCCAAGGTATTTTGAGAATTCTATTGAGCATCGAATGAAAATGAGGATATTAAATGCAGTAATTTCCTTAATAAGACAATCAGAAGGGCAATGTGGTTGCASTGAAGACATATTAAAACTGCTATTAAATCACAATAATCAACTGAACATAACTTATATACTCGAGCTGCTTGTTGCGAAGTGTATAACTAATGATGACATTATTATAAAAAAATTAAATGATGTAAGATAATATACAATTCTAACAAGAAAGTGTGCATATGAAACACTGCAGTCGCCTGTGTATTTTGTACACTAAAAGCTAAACTTTGTAACAATTTTGCAGTTTTCATACACGCAGTTTCTAATTGATAATCTATTCAATTAACATATGCTCCTCTAAAGTACCTTAATGACTCATCAAAACACGTTATTATTAATTAAAAATTTAGTAATTACCTTAATTTTCAATGAGGTCTGTATTTGCCTTTACGCATACGCCCAGTATTTATAGTAGAATATGAGTTCTTTTGAGTTGCTTATTGAGTGCGCAAAACTGCATATTGACCTACATGCACAATATTAGTTACTAATATTATTCTGTACTTTAAGGTAAACAAATACACATCTAGCCAGCAGGTGTCTATTATTAGCATGGTTTATTGTTACACTGTCTTAAATCGGACCATGCTCTCCAAAGACTATCAAAATATTGTTATAAACAAGCTTCTTCCTCTCACCATGGGACCTCATTTCCAGACGCGTTCATGCGCTCAGCTGGTCATTTATAAAATTTTGGAAAACCATAAATGGTACGTATATCTTAGATCCATTGTATCGCAGAAAAAAAAATTACATTGTAAGAATATCAATATTTCAGTGAAGCCGACACTTTATTTCCAAATCAATATAATTTGCAAGAAGCAATTGGTTTGGCTATCGGATCGCAACTGAATGAATTTCTAAATGATGTACGGTTGTTGCTCCCATATATATATTTAGCTGATACTAAACATTTTTTCGATAATTTAATGTTTATTACAATGGCACCTGCCGACGAATATATGTCGAATTTGGATTTTAAAAAATATGAAACATCAAGGCATATATTTTCCAAGAAAAAGCGCAGTTTTATGAAAGAATTACACACTTCTGAGCAAGTAGTTTTTGCTAGCAACAATGGTATTAATACGCAGCGTAAAATGAACCCGGAAACCGCTCTTTGCACTAAAAGTAGCATAGCTGAGGAAGAAGCTTCTACAAATTCTTATGTAAGTATGTGCTTTTATGACAATGGAAATGTCGAATAAACCGTTATATCTTCTTAGATTTTTGTAGTGGCAAGTCTTATAGACAAAATTCCTAATATTGGAGGCATTGCGCGATCATGTGAAGTACTTGGTGTACGAAACTTGGTTTTAAGCTCAAAAAAAATTGTTGAAAAAGATGATTTCAAAAGTGTGAGGTATGTATTTTTATATGGAATGTGTATTTTTTATTATCACTATTGAATTATAGTATGACTGCTGAAAAAAATTTGAATATTTTTGAAGTCCAACAAGCTAATTTGGAAGAATTTTTAAAAGAGAAACGCGAAGACGGTTTTGATATTATAGGAGCCGAACAAACTGTTGCCAGTCAGAATATAATTGGGTTTGCATTTCCTCGGAAATGTGTATTGGTTTTAGGGTGAGAGCAGTCTGTTTATAATATCTATGGATTTTTTACATTACAATATTTTCAGGCACGAGAAAGAAGGAATACCAAGCAATATTCTGGCCTTTTTAGATTATGCCATTGAAATACCTCAATTTGGATTATTACGTTCCCTAAATGTACACGTAACGGGGGCGTTGTTTATGTGGGAATATTGTAAGCAACACATCGTTGGAAACTCTAGCACATAAAATACTGTGATCTATTTATATATACATATATTTATGTATCTATGCACGTGTACTTAGCTATTGCCTTTTTATCCAATAAAAAAGCTTTAGAGTTTTTCATCAACTATTGGTACCATTATCACTATGTTTTGTCTCTTTTTGATATGAAGTGATAAGTTATTCAATTCAAAGGTCGAAACAGCAATACTTAAAATATACTATTCTAAGCAATCAAATAAAACATGTCGAAGTTTTCTCTTAAAATAAATATTTATATACATTTTCATARACAATTCCACAGTCTAACGTCTAAAAACGCCAAGCCGTCCAACTATTACTATTTTTAACTGTCCACAGAATTTGTTTTGTCGCTAGTAGTAACTGGATATTGCAATGGGTCCTGGCTTACAACGGGGAAGAGGTGGGACACATTTGTCAAATCGCCAACATCCGTTATACGAGGCTTTAACGAGTCACTAACGTTTGACTTGCTGAGTTGGTAATAAGCTGTGTTGCTATGGGTTATATTAACAATAGTTCCTGTTAAGGGCAACGTTTCCAAAAGTTCGGTAGGACTGCTAAATGCACCAATATTGACGGGWGCGATACCCGTAAGTACTTGTCCGGATATATTCGTTTGAATCGGTAGAGGTACATTACCAAGGTTAATATGGCTCTGATTGGAATGGGTGTCATAGAATGTTAAGTCCACTCGTTCTTGACTAAAAAATATTTATTTGTATTATTTATCGTATTTGCWTATAGTTGGTGAAATTATGTATGTATTGTATTGCATGTACTACCTCTCGAAACTAGTTTCGTTGTCATCGACTTCTGTTAATATTCCAATTTCATAAACAACAGCTTTCACAACATACCTATTCACAGAGCAAGAACAGTGAAAATATTTTATAAACAAATTCTAGAAATTGTACATCATTGGGGACTTACAGATTTTTCGGCGTATCGTTGACACTAGCCATCATTTCCTGTAACGTTGAGTTATCAACGTCACTAGATGAGTCCAGCAGGGGCAATGCTATCGAGCCAGCGGAGAGCAAAGCCACCAAAATGGAAGCAAAAACGGTGAATTTTACTAGCATCTTTACCTGTTTTGCTGTAACCCGCTTATGCCTGATAGCTTGGATCCCTTCCTTTAAAGATCGGTTTGCTCTCAACCACACTATTGCCCAGTAAAATAACGACTTAGACAGTTTGAACTTCGTTTCATAATTTACCTGGTTTTTATATCGAACTCATTTAACTGGAATTGATATTTCGGAGCTTTTGCAATTTCATTAATTAACATCGACTGTTAATTAACGATTCTAAGGTGTTAATTAGTAAGCTGAGGTGGCTCTAATTAATTTAGCATGTTTTGTAGTGTTCAATTCCAAAGCGAAGGGGCACATGCTCGTGAGTTGACTACAGAGAACCCTTGTAAAACGCTATTTACGTACTATGTATGTAGATGTTGTTGTATATATTTATTTATATACGAGTAAATAAACAAAATTTGGAAGATTTTTTTTTTTATTTTTTTTATTTTATAAAAGCTTACATAATAATACAATTATTATACAAACTTAAGAAAATACGCAGCACTAGCATCATGGGCTATCGGCCGATTTGGAAGATTGTTACAATATTTATTGTGAAAAAGTAAAAAACTAAGATTGTATTCTCTATTTCAAGCTCTGTGCGTACTATAACGTTAATCGAGCAGTGCTAATTCGTGCAAAAACAGTAATCTTTTGTGACGAAACATGTGAATCTCTTTATTTTAAGGGGTCAGTAGGGTAATCTTTAAAAAAAAAAAAACCTGTAGAATTAATGTAGAAACCCACTTTACCCTTGGAAGGTTTCGAAAAAGGCCCAAAATAATAATACCGCTCGACGATCGGAGCGCTCGGAGTGCACACTTTAAACTTTAAACGCGTTTTTATCAAAACACACCTTTTTAAACTGGAGGACATCATTCCCGTCGAACTACTCAACAGATTTGCTAAATTTTTTTTTAATGTTCACAAAACACCTGGCTATCATCTCTACTAGATTCATAATTTATTGACAATGTTATGACAAAATTTATGTAAAAAACATGGATTAAAAAAAAAACGTGAATTACTTTTCTATTTATCAAAATTTTTTTCATGATTCTAATAGGGACGATAACCATTCACGTAATTTTTAAGAATAAATAGGATTTTTGTGTTTCAGATGATCCGAACATGAGAAATCATTTCTTCGACAGGTGTCATCAAAAAATTTCGAAAAAATTTGTTTATACACTCCACGATGTACTTCATGTTCACATATCAGAATGTAGAATAAAAATTTTTATGAACAAAAAATGTCAAAAACAGGCCAGATTACCCTACTGACCCCTTCACGTCATATCGAAGACTGTTCTGTTAAATTTAAACGAAGAAATTTAAAAAAAGAATATGGAAATGGCAACAATTATTCGAACGTGTATCGGAAAAAAGTTATTTGTGGAGCCCCTTAAATAGCTCCTTAATTTTCTGAAATCGAATAATCAAACTTCATTCGTTAGATACTAGAATTTCAGGTGGAGTTTTTCGGAATTTAAAATTTAAAATTTTTTAGAACACTTTGAAAGAAAAAACCCAATTTTTACAAAATAATCTGCTAATTGGTTATTGTTAGATTAAAAATTACTTCGTAAATTATGTACAAATGTATCGGCGTAGTGATTTCAAAGTTACGAGACGCACTGAGTTTGAACACTTCAGTTGTGGTATAAACGATTTAAAGTTTTAAAATCAATATAATACTTATAACTTCGTCAAATATTGTCAATTTTGCTCAAATCGACTTTAGACACAACATTCTTGAGATATTATGCATTCATTTAAAATAAAAACTTACTCSCACCTTTAAAATATTAAGATTTTTACTGCATTATATAGTATTAATTATTAATATTTTACAATATGTCCGGTAAAAAGTTCCTGTTCCTAGCACTGTGATCTACATATTCGGTGTATATGGACTTAAATAGTTTTGGTGCGATCTTGACAACTTTTAGATTTGGGCATACCTGCAAAGTTTTAACTGCATTTTTTCAATTGTGGTTGATTTTTATACTAAAAAGTGTAAGAATCCCATTAATTTGAAAAAATTATGCTAACTATGGAGGATAATTGATAATAATTGGGTAAAATTGGTCCAGTAGATTCCGAGACATCGGTGTTCAAAATCGTTCAAATTTAACACCGACTCCTACAAAAATCTTTTGTGCCATCTAGGGTATAGAATTTTGTATCTCTAGCGAGTTTATTTGTAGATTTATCGCACTTTTAGTATTTTTTAACAAAACAGTCATATGGGGAATCGAGCTATCTTTCGATTTCATTGATTTTTACATTGTCGGTAGGGTTTCTTGATAGTTTAGAAGCGTTTGACATATTAGAGGGCGGTGCCACGACCATTTTTTTCTTCACTTTTTTGCCAAGGATATCTGAATTTTTACTCAAGTTATCGCTTGCACAGGCAAACGAATAGGCACCTATCTGGATTTSATATCGTCTGTTCATCCTGATCATATAACCCTATATCTAACTCGATTATTTTTWTGAAATACGAACAACCTTCTAATGATCCTGATATTGGTTGATACATTCATCAATCAACCCTGAGCTCTGGTGTTACTTAATTTTCTCGTCTTTTCTCGTTTGCTGTTCTTTTGTTCAGTATTTTAATTTCTTTTATATTATTATATTAAGTATATCTAATTGTTTTGGTTCAGAATTCACGCATCAACCGATATGTTGAAATTATTATTTACATACATCATTAAATTTTTGTRGTTTTCTACGCGAAGACCTTAATTTGGCTGCCATAAACTACGGATAAGCGCATTTAGCTTTTCATATATCGGACGACGTCTGCATGTGTATTTACGAAACTTAAATAAATTTGTTACGTTTAAGCTATATCTTCATTGCATATTAAATATGTATGTACAGAAGTATACACTTTACTAAAGGGCAATTGAAAGCATCACTCAAATGAAATCAAGCGAAATAAATTATCAAAGTAATTTACACCTTACACTCTCGATCCGCAAAAGCTTTTGTGCTATGTATTGTATATCACCGAAACTTTAAAAAGCCTACGTCGCAGCCAGTGTGCTTCTAAAAGAATTCGTGCCTGAGGAAAGCAGTCGCATCTGATCGAAAAATCACACTTCAAACGAATACACTCGTATCTGCTGTGATGTGGGGTGCAACATATTTAGTTGTAAGTGATTAACAGTAAATTTCGGTTTGCAATAAAAGTTATGAATTTGAATTTTCAGTTGCTTAGCACATTGTGTGTAACATCTTTGGCACGCCCATCGCAATTGGATGATATTTTTGATGGATATTTAAAAAACATTAATCTTTATAATCCAGAAACGCACTCACAAATAGTAAAGCGTCGAATCTATGAAGATAACCAAGATGCAAGTTTGAAGAAGGTTTCCTTACAATCGCTCATTGGGGATTTAGAGCAGAATTTTTTACAATCAGCTTCTAGCGCTGGCAGTCTCGCACATCAAACAACGGAATCAACGGATAGCCATTTAAGTCCTATTGAAGATCATGCAGTACTCAAAAGAAAAACGGATAATGAATCAGGCCATGTTATTTCTTCTGACGGTGATCACAATGAAACCGTGGTTGAACCAAAAAGTGTTGATTCAATAAATGCATCCAACGAAAACATTTCGAAAAAAGAATCAGGATCTACTCGGATACAGGTTGAACATATTTCTGTGCAACCACATTTTGGAAATCTTCCCACTTTGCCGTCCTTTCAATTGCATCAAACAAAAGTTATATCCGCTACTTTGAAGGACACTGATTCTAAACCAACTCAAATCATCATTAGAAAGACAGACATCCAAGCTACACCATTACAGGAAAAAACTRAAGCTATTAGTGAGCAAGCCGAGAAAAACAACAACATCAAACAAAGTGCCAATGGGGAACCTGAAAATCTGTCTTCATCAACACCGAAAAWCACGGTTTCAGAATTAAAACAAACTGAGGCGGAGCTTAAGGCAAATGTGGCTGAAATCGAGGCAGAGCCAGTAATATTATCAGCTCGCGTTTAATTGTTCGCAAGTTATATTATAATATTTCTTTAAAATAAACCAAACGCAGTTCAACAACTGTGTGTGTAGATGAAAACCACATGTTAGTTATTAAAAAAGTTCATCCAAAGTGTAAATGCAAATCATATGACTTGTGCAAACAAACAAAGCAATTATGAAACGGGCTCAAATTGTAAATTCAATACACCGGTATGTATGTGTGTATAATTATTGAAATCTCACAACGCTTATGCAAACAATGGCTGCACAGTTCCCAACATTTTGAAATCAAATTAACTTCACAGATACTTTTCTTTTATTTGTTGATATACATTTGTATGTGTATATGGGCAGAAGTGGATATGTATACATATATATATATACATATGTATATATTTGTGTGAATCTGAGTTTTTGAAGCCCTCCTAAATATCCCACATTTAATTTATACAAATGTAAAAGTTTGCTAACTTCATTTTAATTTAGATGACATTTCATATCGTAGTACTAAATAAAATACAACACTAATACAGATATTTAGAATATTTTGTCAAATTGAATGGGTTTACTATAGGAAATACCTAAAAATGTCCTTATGAAACATTTTGTAAATTGGTTTTCTGCCTTGGATATTGAAACTGACATTATTGCTGGTGTTAATACTGGTTCAATTAAAAGACGAAATCATCTACGACTTCGAAGTTATAACTGTCAACAGTGACGTGGAAGCCAGGTCGCGAGTGCGACGACTGATTGTTTAATGACATGAGATATTTCGTCCTGCCATCGTTCCCCATCAGACCCATTTGGTTGCTTCCTTATACAGTCTGGAAAAAGCAGAACTAACGGCACGGGTGTTGAGGCCAATGATATTAATATCACTGGCGAACACCAGCAGCTTTGCACTCTCTTCTCTATCTGTCTCTTATACACATCTAGATGTGTATAAGAGACATATGTTGAAGAATTTCATTTTGATGCGGATTGTGGCTAGACGTTCATCCACTGGGGTCAATGCCAGGACTCGACGACGGAGTTTCTCTCCCACACCGAATTTGCGTTCCTTCATATGGCCACTAAAGTACATTATCGCCTCAGTCCTTGTCCCGTCCATCGCATTTCTTGGTCGGCATCCAAATACATAACACGTTTGCAGGGGTCGTTATCAAAAGTACATATTTCTTCTTTTCATTGGTAATGCAACTCAGCGCTCATCCCTGGAGAGGAGACTTTCCCCTTCTCACTTTAGCTCGCCTTCAAAATGATGTTCTTAGGCTACCCAGAGTATACTTGGTCTATGAACGGAAGTCGTGAGCTGCTTGAACCATATGTAAAAGAATCATTTCTGGCCACTCTCTAAGCCCCTTATCCTTCATTATATTCCGTYGCATATCTCATAGAGCTCGTCGTAGGACTATACTGCTCAATAGTCCGAAGTAGTGCCTGTTGGCAAGAGTTATTTTGCGTTAAATTTCGAGGCTGACTTTGTTATTAATGCTGGTTYCAAGATAGACGAAATTATCTACAACTTTGTTTGATGATACGAGATACTACAACTGGAAAAATGCACCAAATACTTGCTCAGGAAAAGACCGTCGGGCAACTAGTTGGGCCTCTGGTTCATACTAGTTTTTTTTTAACGTAATTATTAATTTGTAGATWTGACCACTGGGTACTCAAGTTCAATATATGTATGTATGTAGATGTAGGCCGATATATGCTTTTATAGTTAGAAGTCAATAATGATGTAAACTAACTTGATAATAGATTGATAACACCGCATGTGGGCTCTTCAAACTTTTATTTTAGTACCCAATATTGGGGAGAATGAGGTGTAAAGTTTTGCATACATTTTTACATTTCTCTGTTATGGTTTAGTATACCCACGTACAAAACTATGTAATGCTCGTAACCGGCATTAAAGAATTCCCCACCTCTCTTGATTGGAAAGACGGCAGAAGTTATGACTTTGATAAGATATCGAATTGAACGCCAGATGATAAACGACTATACAATACTCCATCAAATCATACTTTCGTCAATGCCAGCACTTGCTAAGCAGTTAACGTTATCGCCATTACCGACGTAGGTTTCTGTTTTCGCAGTCACAAGTTGTAAAAATTGCTCGGTGAAAGCTAAAGGAAGGGTAAAAGCCCTTTGATTARAATTTATTTTGGAAATACTCTCGGAAAGCCAATATAAGCGTTATGGCTTCTAATGTTAATACCGGGTTTGCCAAATGTTTCATCTCCTTCATGGCAATTGTGATATTGGTAATTTTTATAATTTAATAAACGGTCAAAAATACAAAATAAAATATTCATATTTCTATTTCGGAACCATAACATGTACATACATATGTATGTATATACAAACATACGCGTGTAACTGTGAATATGTTTAAAGATTCATCCAAACCTAAATAACATGAATATCGAAAAAAACAAAGTAATTAAATTATAAAACATGCATAACTCCAAGTAAAATTTCCACTTCTAAACTTAAATTTGAATGTATAAAAATCTGGGTTCGGACTACGGACATGATAGATTTGAACAAAATATGAATTTGATTATTTGTTCTGTACATAGTACACACAAATGTTTATTGTTGTTTTCGGAAACATATAGCGGACTATATGTACCTATCTATCATTTGTGTAAGCGTTGACGAAAGCGTGAATCACTTTATATTTTCAATCATTATTACCATAGTTGTAAAAAATTGCATAATCACGTGTACATACATACATTGAAATGTGGAAACCTTTTCAGCTCCAAGGCTGCGTCTATCTTGGTTTGTCAATATACGGAATAACTCAGGAGAGCTGCCAGAATGAAGCAACGACAGATATAGCCAAAAACCCCTTTGAATTTGTAATGCGCTTGATTTACTTTCAAAGTATGTGTGTTTCTAGATATGTATGTATGTATGTATATCCATTTAAACTGTTTATAAGCGTAAAGCCGCGAATGACGAAATTCTATAATTAATTAAGAGTAATCATAATAGCATTTAAGCACATTCCTACTACATATACCTACATAAATACATAATAACTTATCTAATTTTGTATAACTGCAGGGTGCTCATACTAATAAGTGACTACTTTGTAACTGGTGTTAACCAGAGTCCCAACTAGCTAGGCGACTCTCTTTTTCGAGTAAGCAAATAGTATTTTTTCGAGTTGATGTCGGAGGAGATGACAATTGTCAGATATCTTTTGTGAACTTAATACAGACCACATCGAAAAATATGCACAAAATTTACATCTGAATTATCGGGCTCGTTCGTGTAGCTGGCCGTAGATTACGGTCATGAAAATTTAGATTTGGTGTGCAATGAATGATTTTAAAACAAGAAAAATCGCTCCCCAAAGCAATTCTGCTGTTATTAATCAAATTCTGATCGTTCAGTTTGTATGAGATATATATGCTAGTAGTATGCGTAGTAGATTGCAGCATTGCCAATAGATATTAGCCCATGCCACATTTCGTGAAGATATCTCTTCAAATGAGAATCCATATAAGAACTTRATTTTGATCGTTCAGTTTGTACAGCAGTTATCTGTATGCTGGTCCGATTTCGCAGTTCCGAGAAATGAACAACTTTGTACTGAGAAAAGAACGTATACGAAATTTCAAACCGATATCTCAAAAACTGAGGGACTTGTTCGCGTATATACAAACAGACGAACATGGCTATATCGACTTAGGTCGTCACGCTAATCTTTTATATACATATGTATGTTTTAAAGGATCTAAGACGTTTCCTTCTGGGTGTTACAACCTTCGTGGTAAACTTAATATACTCTGTTCAGGGTATAAATATGGAAATGTTCTCAAACAGCAATAGGGAATACTTGAACTGTATTGTCTATACTAATCGAATTGCATAAATTCTCAAAGATTTAATTTTAAAAACTTTTGTTGATGATGCTGTGAGTCAATGTCAAAATATACAAGTTTTTTTCCTTAAAAATATCAGCACGTCCTTTTAAAAATTAAGATTATATTATGTTTTTAAGGAGAAACTTGCGGGAATCCAAAAGTATCAGCGCCAGCTCTTCCAAGCGAAATTGTAATTGAAATGGTTTGGTCTAAATCATTTGAAATTACAAATCGGACGTACATATTTTTGATCACATATGCAGCAGTWAGCGCTTTATGGATAGTAACATCTCTGCTTGTTTTAGGTGAGTTAAATTTGAATGATATGAAAACATTTACTTATATATACTAATTTAAAACTAACAAATTTCAAAAAAACGAGCAAATGGTTCTCCCAACTGCCAAAAATTAATCATTTTTATTTAAGAGTTCGGGAGAGTACCATTGATGGTACGTTGCCAACTTTATACATACTTTAAATTGTTTGCGAATTGGAACCAGAAATACTTTAACAAATATTAACTACATATATACAGTAATGTTAAATTTTTGTTTACACCATAGCTTCAATATGCGGACGTGTTACAAAGTTCGTTGCAGCCATCTCATTTTGGCCATGGTTTTTAATAGTGATCGGAGGAAGTTTGCTCGACGGTGTAGCGACTGGTTATTTTATATATGACATTATACACACAACTGTAAGTAATACATATGTATGTATGTATCTTCTTGGGTTAAAAAGGCTTTGTCTTAACAATGAAAGAATAGTTTGTTTTAATGAAAATATGGTTTTATCTTTTGACATATTGATATTAGTTAGATGGCGTGAGCCTTCGAAGCTTAGAAAATTGGCTTTTCTTGACCTCTTCATTTGAGTGAATTTCTTTTAATTTCGATATTGAAAAAGCATGGTACCCGTCGATCTACTTGTTTCTTCGAAATATCAAAGATTATAGCTGACTCACTAAATTTTGGTTTTACCGCCTCCTGTGGTGTTTCTGAGCCAGAAGCCTATTTGTTGTCAGAAAACAAGCTTTTTGTAAACACGCAAAATTCATAGTTTTCAGTTGTAAACAAAAATTTCAGAGATAGTTATGTTTAGTACACCAAGGTAAGGATTAAGTTTTTTCAACCCATGACGAACATTCATACTTAAAATTTTTGTTAAATTGTAAATTTATTTGCAAAACCATGTAAACATGTTCAAATTTTAGACGGCAARCGATGCATTTACATATGTCGGAGCTGATACCACAAATAGTGTTCTAATGAATTATTTGGAAAACTTTGATGCCTATTTTATTACGCCAGCTGTGGTAATGACTTGTTTGAGTTCGCGCGTGGTGCTTATATGGCTGCTTAACATTTTTGGAACCGGATTTTGTTTGTCATTATCTCACATTATGGCAAAAAACGTAAAGACTTCCAATTTTTGAGCCAATGAATGAATGTCGATGAGATCAATTAATGTTTTATCTTTTCAGAGTTCTAGTTCAATAACAAACGAAAGTTCCACCAATCTCTCTGGTGATCAGWGCTCTTCTACTGCAACCATTGACAGACATGTGATAGATACCAACATACGCAGAACAGAACTGCCACCCATTCAACCTGGTACGAATACAAAAGAGATAGTAATTGAACAAGTTCCAAGSCAAAATGAAAAAAGCTTCAATGGCRACTCAACACCAGTTACATTGGCTACAATTCGCCAAGTCTCAGCGGTGTCAACACAAAATGATAGCGAACAATTAAAGACGGTTGAAAATAAAAATATATCATATCGCCATGCTGATTCGCATCCGGATCGTCTTGACTATCCAACCACGAACTCCAGGCCAATTTCTCCCGTTTTGCCTTTAGAACARGCTCAACACCTATCAACAGAAACACCTCTGAATAGCCGCTATTCAAATGTAGAACAGTCAAACGCACGCCTGAACGCAGAACTGCGCAGTCAATTACCCTGGTCCTACACCAATATGATAGGTAAACCTCAAGTACCACTCAAGCCTCAAAAGCAAATTTATCCGGAGATTCCAAAGCCTGATTATACTACATAACCGTGATTTATATACACATATGTACATATGCATTCTTAACTTTCTGTTATTGTTTGAAACATGCTTCAAACTTTTGTTAAGCATTTGTAAATCGACCGCGGGTGTGATACTTTTGCGCCTGTAAATTTTAAAGAATACTATTTATGCAACTATCAAAATGAAATTGGTAGCAATAGAAGTCGGTATAAAGTAATCAAATTACAAATAAACTGTTTCCAATAATGTAAATAAATAATAACTATAATATTAAAAAATGTTAAGACTTTAATTTTTCCATAGTGTTTCTATTTTTGACTGTAGGACGCAATGGGAATGCAGACGTTTCGGGCTCAAATAGCGCTGGATGTGTCATTTTAACACACTTTCATAAAACCTTTATTTCTTGATATAAGGTTTTATTTTTGTGATCAAACCACTTGTTGCCCTAAATGTTATACTTACATATATAATTTTCGTTATACAAGTTTTGGTACCGAAAGAAAAATAATTGTGATATATGAAGTGTAGACCTGTGAACCGCGGAAAGATAGAGAGAAATAAAGATCCTCGGAGTGTCCTCCGTCCCTACACTGCTCAGCTTCTTAACCTCTTATTTAATTATGYCAAAAGGTAGGATACAATAATTGAAAATAGTCTTTCTCAACTTCAATAATATTGGTAGTMGAAAAAGTTTTTTCGTATTTTGTCAATATATTATATGTATGTACGTATGTCGTTGCAGTCGTATATCTCCAGTGCTACCAATCACATTGTGTCATACCAAATAGTGTTGGAAAGGTGAGATTTTAGCTTCATTTAGCCAAACGAAAATATTAAATTCAGGGAAGTTGCAAAAAAGTTACAGCTGTTATGAGTGAAAATAATGAAGAAATTCGCTATTTTTTTTCATTTTTGTATGATAAAGGAAATAATGCCACGCAAGCCACAACAATGGTTCGGTCGCATCTGTTCTGGAAATTTTGATTACATTGATGAAAGCTAACACTCATGGAATAATGTCTCTAGCGGAAAATTACCAAAATAGTACATATTTGTTTATT